GCGAACGCAGAAGATGTTTCATAGCAGTGATCTCTGCTGTCACGAAGGCCCATTTGCCAAAACAACGTCACGTAATATATTCGTTACGTATTGAGCTTTTGTCATTCGCTGTCGAGCATGAAGGAGCAATGCCAATTGTTGGGCAAGAACACATTTCTTTGAAGCTTATTTTTGTGTTTAGTATGTTGTCCTCCGCCCTACCTCTTAGCACGGTTGACTACGTACGGTGTGAAAGAAGTTCAACATGCAAGAATCGGGAGGCCACTAAAAAGTTAGTGGAGAAGAATGTTCCTGTCGTCATCTGCCAGGGACATTCTCTGACATCACGCGAGGCTTTTTTTTTGTACGAGCGGTTAATTGAAACGTGAATTAAATTAACAATATTTATTTTCTTAAAGTCACGATAACATGATCATCAACTGACTGAAGCCACCAGAATGGCCAACGGTTCACCACAATTTACAAAAATAAATAGATTATGGACTCAAATCGCAACCCTGAATTGGGACAATTCTTGATGCCACTTTTCTATTGGCACATCCGAGTGGATGCAGGACAAATGAGAGAGCAAAAACTGAGACAAAGAATAATAATTCATAATGATGGTTTGTTAGGTTAGATCATGCAAGTATAAATGTGTCTTTAAATTTTAAGCTTTCGTGACTGCATGGATTCATATTCTTGGTTCTTTCGGTAAAGTCACGTAGAAGGGAAATAATAAAATAATATAAATATAAAACAATACAAATTCTCACAAAGTTTCGACTGCAACACAAGCAATCATCATCAGGTGTGAAATCCACAGCAAGGAAATTTGAAAAAGAACCAAGAATATTAATGTGTCGTTAACCCACCACTGCTCGACACAGCCAATGAGAAATATTGGTCGCGAAAGTCTACGTGTTAAACAATAAATAAATCTTCAAATTGAATCGTGACCCCAAATCGACTCTCAGGGAGATACACACTTTCCGTGCCTATCTAAAAGCCCAGCATATGATCATATCACCTGGAACGCGCCCGATCTCGCAAGATATTCGGTGGGCCAAGCAAGATTGAGCCTGAAGATGCCATGCATAAAACAGGTGTTCTCGGCTGCTGCAGGAGCTACATTGTGAGCAGCAGAGTGGCAGAGGCGGTCACATTACATGTTGTACTCTACTATCCCCCTAAGGTTCGTTCTCACCCGCCTTCACCAAACCCGCACTTAATCAGCCGTGGTAAAGTACGGTCAAAATAACCCCCATGGCCCGCACGGTATAAGTGGAGGCCCTCATCCAGCAGTGGATTGACACAAGAACCGTCCAGTAGTACACCTGGGATATTCATAATGACGTATTTTGGGTTAGATCACGTACGTCGTAAGCCTCCAACACCGGACCCAGACAGTGAGGTTTGTAACGTAAACAAAACGTGCCAATTATTTACTACTTCTCTCCACAGGTGTGTTGGAGAGTAAATCCACAACATTTACAATTTGAGTTAACGACGTTTCGCTGGTAATTACATCCAGCATCATCGGACGATTTGCCAGAGTAGTGGCACGACGCATTTATGCTCACTCGATCTAACCCAAAAAAGCTTTATTATGAATAATAATAATATTGGTCGCGATAGCCTACGCGTTAAACTCACCTGGGATATGTTGCCTGCTATAAAAACCCCGTAGCAATAAGGCCGTTTGAGTTCAGCGTTTTTAGTGCACCTCATTCCGTATCCCTGTTCTGACCACCGATCACACTCGCGAGAAAAAGGGGGGCAAAAAAACGTTTTCTCAGTCACTCTTTCACGCAGAATAAAGGGCATCTATCTAGGAGAGGTGTATACAACAGAGATAGTTGTGTTTGAAAAGGGCTCTAAGTGCATTCCTGACAGTGAGTTTAGAAAGCAAGTGGCCATCTAATGGGAGAGACTTTTTTTCTCTTGCACTCTGCCTTAAGACAGCAGCGATTACCAAGGACTCCCCGCTGTAAACATTTACCCCGGATTTTGTCAATTTCGACGTTTAGTTATATTCACGGCTTAAGAAGTAATATATTGCACGTGTGTTGTATATTTTTGTTCGTTTTTTTTACTAGTTCCCTATTCCTTTAACATGTAACGTACGTACCTAATTTTGTTGTTTGCATAACCACATACTTAACCATGATTGTAACTGAGATGTGTACCATCCTAGGGCGCCGATTAAATAGAGCCTGACAGCTTATTGGGCCCTTCCTGTTGAAATAAATAAAATATGCCGCAAATCTACTTGCTCGGGATTTTGTGGGAGAGTTGAAAGATAAACCTTACAATGCCATGGCACGTTTGGTGTACATATAAACCCATGGAAATGGGTGAAGTTATTTTGATTTTATCAGCCTTCATTGCCCGAGACCAGTTCATTCATACACCATAATAGTGCTTTGTATAACCTAACCATCTCTTGTAAGCATGTTACAATGCACATTTTTGACGTATCTGCGATTATACTGATAACTGGACGTCTCTGAGTTCGCGTCGGGTAAGACTCAGCCCATAATCTCGTATGGTTGTATAAATTAATACCACTTTGTGGTAAGTTATCAGTGATTTTCAAACCCAGACAGTAGCTCCCAGCCATGGGAACGTGGAGTGATATCTTCTGGCACAAAGCCACCAACAGAGATAAGTGTTTCCCCATTGTCCATTTGACTTTTTATAAACTCACTGTCGAGTAAAGGTGCAGCCCTGCAATTCCTTGCTCGCGCCACTGCCAGTGGAAGGGCCTCCACTTGGGTGGGCGCCTCCAGAAGGTGTTTTGGCCTACTCTTCCATTGCTGAATTTCTAATCGAGTTGATTAGTCGGATTCGGAGTAGGAACGTATGCAGTCTGGAATACCCTCCGACTCCTACGTCTGACAAATAAACTCTATCATATTGTTCCAATCTGTACTAAATATCTTTTTCATTCATCCAGGCAGAGACTGAATTTTAGGTAATCACTTTTTTTGGACATTGGACCGATTGATAGAAATTTGGGCGTAACTTTTTGGCACTCCACCTGCTGAGAAGGTTTCCTGGCTTAGTTGGGAAGCTGGGTGTGTGGTCTAGGATGCTGATACCTCATGGACTAATTTCTTTGTTGTGAACAATTTTTGTTGTTGTTTGTGCTTTTTTTGGTGCCCTTTCCTATTTAGTTTCTACATTTTAGACTTTACTCGGCAGTGGGGTTTTCATTTCCTCGTTGCGTATGTGTGTGCGTGGTGGTCTTCTTTCACGCTGTTTGTAGCGAACCACGTATATGGGATTTGGTCCTCATTTATAATCAATGTACAGCGTTGTGGGATGCTGTCGGCATGAATGACGCTATTGAACATTAAAGTATGACTAAACGCTTTTTAAGAGGCGCGAGGACCCACAATTTACCCCGATGCACGCGACCTGTCGATCAACAAGCTGTGGTGTGACCAATTTATATTGCAGAGTGCACAGAGGCAGAGGAACATTTAAGAAACTTGCCCCATTGTGTCAAGTGCCGTGCCGGGGGATGATATCAATTAACCCTGGACAATAATACACGAAGAAATATAAAAACACAATAAAAAATAATTTAGCTCTCATATAAAATCCAGTTTTTATGTTACAATTTAGCCACAAACAATGCTTATTTTTTGAGAAAGTACAAAAAAATATATATGTGTATACAACGAGGAACTTGTTATAAAAGCTCTCGATTATAGGGTCCCCAACGTTCCTTTTATTATTAGCATTATTATTGTTCTGTTAGTCATGAGAAAGAGCCGCCACGTTGACGGTCACTTCAAAGACATTCCACCGGCTGTACACGCGGCACAGAGATGGGAAGGTTGAGTGGCTGTTTGCCAGCCCATGTTGCTGCCTCTGTGCTAAGCTGTGTGCAGCGATCCAAGGTGAAGCCCGGGCTATGGGAAGTGCTGATGAATGGGGGCAGTTGTGGAGGAAGGGCCCCATGGTGGGGAGAGATTGTTTTTTCACCGCTTTGACTCATTTCCTCATAACTACAAGTCACCGCCTCACCTTCCGGCAAATGTTCAGCTGAGTGGCTTCATTATTGGACGGTTTGTTCTTTTCCATCGGTTCACGTTCAGATTGTGCAGTCTTTGTATTCTCCGAATTGTTTTCTTGCGTGTTTTGTTGCTAGGTGTAACGGCGTACGTCTCTAAGCCAGGGTCGGTGGATCACCCTTCGATCCTGTGTGAGACACGCAACCCCGGAGGGATAGTGAGATACCTTAAGGAGTCCATATAAACGAGAGCTTGATGACCAAATTTTGGGGCTAAAAGATAATTTCCCCAAACGTGATCTTATCGAAATGTACGTGTTTCTCCGCTGTAAGGAAACGTGTTTGCCGTTGATACTGATGGTAAAAAATATATTTTCAGCCATTGCTTGACACACCACGACCAAAACAATAACATTGCTAATTAATAAGACCATAATGTGCTTATATGTGATAGAAACGTCACTGCCAATGGGTAGTTATTGGCCATTTTATAGCCATTAACAACAGTCTAGAAATGCGTTTTGAAGATTGCCGTTCAAATATCAGTCATGATTCGACTAAGCCATTCATCCATCTATGTTCAATAACATAAGTGCCACTTTTTTGCAGCCAACCAGGGTTGTTTTATGTATGTGAATGTTGAATTTTCACCTTTTGCTCAAGGCCACTAACGAACTACCCAACTGCTCGTTTGTTCACGGTGAGACTTTAGATTTTACCTGCCTTGGATGCACGTGTGTCATAACGTCTTGGAGTCAACATTGATGAATCTAATAAGGATTTTGTCAGGAATTAATGTAAAGTAGCTGAATCACATATTTAATAAACACATAGAAAAATCAACGCTGCTTGAGTAAGCATACCCTGTGAAATGTCGGAAGGTCATAACAGTTTAAATGTTGAAACTTATTATTTTCGTAAACGTTTTATTGCAATACATTATCATGTGCATGATTTTAATGTCTTACATGTGCGTCTTATTCTTGTTGTTTTACAGCTGGATGTGAAAGGCATATCACTGTGAAAGAAGAACTTTGAAAATCAAGGAGCCTGATTCACATCTAACAGGAGCATGTCTGCTATTTCAATGTTTAAACTTAAAACTGTTCAAATGAATGAATGAATGGACGCTTTCACGTAACATCATTCGCTTACACGTTCTTTCTCTAATCCGGTCACGTGCTGCTATATCGTAGGAGCACTCGGCTTACGTGATGCCGGAAGGTTGCCAATGCAAATCACGGCCACGAATCAGCTCAGCCTATAATCCCTTTGGGGTCGATAAAATACGTAACGTGCTGTGGGAATGTGGCATGTTCGCTATTGGCTGTAACCACCAACCTTACTCATAACACTGTGCAACACATTTTTTTTGTTCCTGGGTAAGTAAGTGTTATTTCCTAATTGCTTATGCCTCAAAAGTACAGAAAATGGATATTATTCCCCAACAAACTTTGCTTTCTTTGTTTAATAATTGTTGTATTACGTTAGTATCAATACATGTTAATTTTGATTCATATGTTGTTTTTCTGACTTTATGTGAACGAAAAGACACTAATTCGCCTGTTTTCTCATTGAAAATAGGTACATTTCAAAATATCACTGTCCTCGTCACAAAAGCAAAGTTTGTGGGGAATAATAGCCATTTTCTATACTTTTTAGGCATGAGCAATTACGAAATAACACTTACTACCCAGGAACAAAAATTGTGTTACATAGTGTAATAATTCTTCAGGCAATGGAAGGTTGACTTTGGACAAGTACATATCATGTACTTCATGAATACTTTTGTTGAGTTCTGCTTTTCATTTCAATCTGACTGTTCCATTATTTTCACTCATTTACAGAGTAATGCAAATCCCACCTTAAATTAATGCATTTCTATATGAAGTGGATGCTCTGTAAAGGGACTGAATTAACCGGCATGTTTAAGGCACGTGGCCCGTTTACATATACTGTATGTGGAGGTCAACTTTCCTGTGTATTCACAGGTTGACAAATATGACAATGATGCCTGTTCATATTCGTCATTACATAGGAATGCAATTCATTGTGAACCCTCATATATATATTTTACGTAAATTTCCTCAAGCTATTCTCAATGCTGTCAAAGAACTTCTCAGTGTTATTGGGTGGGGTCACGAACGCCTATTAAAATGATATATATGTGCATGATGGTTCGTATTGTTTTGACGCATATTAACGGTAGCAAATTTAATTAACTAAATAATTTCTAAATGCCACAATTGTAGTTAGGGCATCATATCATATATCCAGCATATCATCATTGTCAACAGCAGAAGTCGTGGTCGATCCACTGCTGGACTATGGCTCCACACCGTTGCCATCTATCACATTCTCGCTAAAGGACAATCTATCGAGGCCCTGCTACAAGAGCTTATTTCGTCACTCCATCTCCTTGGTGCACGTCCTCTAGGTCGTGTTGCCTCCTTTGACTGCCACTCCACCGTCAGCCTCAAACACCAGCCATCGTGCCTCCTAGATATATATTATTCTCAAGCCCACACGCATTTATGATTTACCTTTACTATAGTTTACTCTCCTATCGCGTATTGCTGCAACCTTCTGATCTGTGAAAAAGAGCTTCATAGTTCATCCGATTTCTCCAGGATAAATAAACATTCTGATTCTGCGTGTGATTTAACTAAATATTTTACTCTGATCCACGTGTTGTTTTTTCTGTTCGTCTCAGTGTCATTCCAAGCGTGAACCTCTCAATGAATCTCTGCACACTTTAGCTTTCGTTGAATTTGTAAATTAATGTCCATGTTGATGAGCCATGTCATAGCAGGTGACATGTATTTATTAAATCATTATTTCTTTGGAAAAATGGTAGAGGCTTCCCTCGCTTTATGCGGGTCCGGTTTGTATGACTTCGCACCGCATACGCAACTAGCCTTTGGCTACCAAAAATTCGCTCTCTACGATTTGAATTCACTCTACATGTTGCTACGTGATCGGACGTGGGACAACATTGTGTCGCGTGTACTGTGCATGCTACTCGGCATGCAGCTTTTCTCCTCGTACGATGCATTGTGGGTCAGGGTGACTGTGTGGTCCATGCCACGTGATTTCGCTTTGTGTGCAGACTCTTTTTTGGAACACATTTACCGACTAAAGCGAGGGAAAGCCGTGCACTATTTTTCGTCATGAAGTTCAGTTTCCCAAAAGCACTCCAATCTTCTCTTATACACCGCTTTATTCCTTCATTTTGATCCCACTTCACAATTATAGATACACTGCTCTGTTTATCAGTTGTATCCCTCTGATAGTGAAATTGTTGCACTTAACTTTCTTTTTCTTTCATATTCAACTCTAATCCACCTCATTATTAAATAATTTCCTGTTATTCATTTCCATTGGTTGGTGTCAGGACTGTGTCGTCAGCAAATATTAGATGTTGAATATTTTCTCCTCTTATGTTTTTGGCTTTGTTTCTCCTTATTTTAATGTCACGATCTTTACGTGCGACGTTTGAGTGGTCATGTCATTACAAAAAAAAACATCTTCTAATGTCACTGTGAATAACTGTGGCAAAATCGTGTCACCTTGTCCGACTCATGTATCTGTTTTACTCACGACAGAAAGAAAAGACCCCATTGCAGTTGTTCTGAGATCTTGACATTTTAGTATAGCACACAGAGGCCGTGTGTAATGATATTTGATATTAACTTCGCTTTTACCACAGCATGTATACTCTTTGTGCCAAGTGGCAGAGGGAGCCTTTCCATTGCGCCCGTGTGAATGTGAGCTCGGCTAAACCACCGAGAGGTCAGGGGGTCGCCTGGGTGTGAGCGGTGCTCTCCCCACGCCCGGGCGTGGTCTATTCACCGACCCACACTGGGCAAGTGAAGCATGGCCACGTGTCATTCCCTCAGCTGGTCGTGCAAACTGAAACTACAGTCCTCAGCCACCTGCAACTGTGGGTTCAAGAAACATGGCTTCGGCAAGGTTGTTAAAGGCACTAAAACTCAACTATTTTTATGTTGCCAGGTAAAGCCCACTGAGCTATAAAGCAGTTTTTTTAGAAGCGACCTGGCCACAAATGATAGTGCAACGAAGTGGCTTAGCATGCGGACATTTATAGCAGACAAATACTCTCAATGCATGTTTCTAAATGTGGAGGGAAAAGCAGAAGGACCCGGAGAAAAATCCAAGCAACCACGGGGAGAACATGCACACTCCAAATATACAGCAGGCGTCAGGGTGAGGATTGACCTCAGGACCTCCTGTATACCAGGCGATACAGTCAACAACATCTCGCCACCATGGCACCCTAAAGGAGAAAGGGATGTCAAGAATCACTGGGTAAAATAAACACCAGGTCATTTTCTTGGTTTGACCATGGCTAAATACAACCCTGCGAGCTTGCTGAGAAAATAATTGAGATCGTTGTATATTGGCACATCAGTTGGTCTCATTGAGGTGAGATGAAAAGACGCAACATTTTCTATCTCATAGGGAGAATTCACAATAATTGCGGAATAGTTGCACTTCAGCATATTGAAATAGAGGGCAAAGATAATTACAAGGAAAAGCATAATAATTTACATCACATTTTTGGTGGAGTAAATTTACATAACATAATTATTACATGAATATCACCACTAAATATACCATACAGGGATTTATTTTACTTAATTTAGAACAAAAAGTTATTTAAAATACGTCACATTTCATGACTTTCAACGTCATAATCATATTAATAATAACATGCTTTTCCAGGAAGGCATGAATATTTTTTAGAAATGAATTTCAGAAAAGTCTTTAAATGTTTGACCGATTCCCATGTGCGCAAGAAACTGGATTTCCTTAAGCAAACCCAAACACATGAAAGAGGAGATAACACTCACCCTTCACACTTAAAGATCATAAAAATACTTTCTCTACTGCCATCCAAATGCATTAATTTGCTCTAAACATCTGCAACATTTATATGTGACCCGTCAACCATTGCTTTTAGTGTTCGTGAACACTCAACAATGTGTCTTTCATTTACTCAAAGTAAATTGTGCCTTAATAAGTGAATTTGATCCATAGATCGGAATGTCCCACCTGTCACACCCACCCTGGTTAATGTCTGAGCCATGTTAACTATTCACAGCAGTGTTTTAATTACTTCCCTCTGGTTAACACCGCATGGCTTTCTGCCAAGTCCGTCGATGTTGTCAATCTATGTTCAATAATTTACTTTATCGTTGTTTATTAAGCAGCCATGTGAACGTGAAGTGTCCAATAATACAGCAAATGCTCCGCATTGTTGAAATATAAGTTGTGATCATTTCCCATGTATTCATTAATTTTTTATATTTTGTCTTCATTCAAAGTAGCATGCTGATGAATGTAATATCTTTGAATATTGAGTCAATTACATGTACTGTATTATCTTTTGAATAACACATATAAAAGTATAAATGATGTAAGCAGCAGGTCTTAGGGACATTATTTGTTATCTCTCCAACCATCTTCCTCCAGTTTTTTAGCGACTATAAATAGTTGTGGTTTCACATAATCCACGTGGTGATGTTCTCTACCCAACATATTATCCATCTGCCTTTCATTAACCACAAACTGTTCCTTGCAAGATTTGTGTCGGCTAAACCAGATCGATTACCTGTTGCCACAACCCTCATCATCGGACATGGTCAATCCACTGCTGGATGAATGCCTCCCCAAGCCACCGTCATATCTCACGATCCTGAAATGCTGTGAAGTAATCTGCTTAATTGTTTAAAACGACCTCTCGAACCGCGTTGTATTCATTGACTGCCACTGTTGACGTAACCGAGCCACTAAAATGACTTTGCGATGAATTTGCTTTCATATGATCCTGTTTGTGTCTTTTTATCGTGGACAACATCATTGGTTTTGTGGGTGGTGTGGTGGATGCAGGGCAGCCGCCTACAGTGCTTTCTTTCAAACACAGTATATTGTCATTGTGTTCATGACTTGGAGCCATAAAGGTGAACTTGACAAATGCACCAATAAAGTGAAATTGTCGTGTTTCTTGTTGAAATATTTATCTTTCCACGTGATATTGAGGTTGGTTTTTGTTGTTGCGCTGTGCAACTGTGGCTCTGATCCGCGCGTTGGATTTCTTATCGGCTGATATTGTAGAGGTGAGGAGTTTGCAAGCGGTGACTTATTCTGCGTTTCGATTGCCAGCTGGTGTTTGGATCGCAAGTGTGGCACTGCACAGGCAGGAGTTGGAGAACGACGCCCGGCTAACCCCCTCCCCCCCAAATCACTTTATGCTTTGGCTTGTCAACGCGAATGAGCATTTGAAACACAGTGGCTCAGTGCCATAATTTGAATAAAACAGAGTCTGTCGGCCAAATCACCTGCACTTGTGTACAACTGGAAATGCACTTTCACTACTTGCATTGCTAATTCGAGCTGGAACAAAATAACGTTTGACTATCCCTGTGCAGTGCTCATTAAAAAAAACATTTAAACGTTTGAAATATTTACCCCCAGAAAAGCTTCACTGTGTTTAAATGCTCTCCTTTTGTTACACGAAGGGTAGGATTGGGGTGTAAAAAGGTTTTGCATTTGGAAATAAATTAGAGACCATGGAGAAATCGCGTGCTTCGTAGTCTGCAGAGCAAAGTATTGTTTTCTTGCACTTACTGTGTTACAATATATAGAGAGATGGCACCAGGCCATTTTAGTTTTAGAGCTCGTTAAACATTGCCCAGTTGAATATAAAACTATAACTATAAAACTAAACTTTATATTTTACCAGGTAAGGCCCACTGAGCTGTATAGCTCTTTTCCAGAAGCAACCTAGCCACAAATGATAGCTCAACGAAGTGGCTTATCATGTGGACATTTATAGCAGCCAAATACTCCAAACGCACGTGTCGAAATGTGGAGGGAAAAACCGGAGGACCCAGATGGAAATCCACACAACCAGAGAACAAGCAAAATCCAACTATACAGGCGTCAGGGTTGGGATGGAACCCACGACCTCTTGTATACCAGGCGAGGTAGTTAACATCTGGCCCCCGCGGCACCAATATGGTGTACAAGGAATGACTGTGAGTTTGTGAATAAAATCCACAATACAATCTACATGTTTGTTGCATTGAATAATTCTTTTATTATCATTGTCAGTTATTCTTTGTTAAATATAGCTGGGAGGAAATTAAAACGTTACACAATCACGTTCCTGTTTGTTATGAAACCCAAGTTTAGCATGCTCTAGATATTGTGCCCAACTGCATGCAGGAAAAGTCCCAATTTACATTGGCAGCACCGACTGAATCAGGTTGGCATTTTCGCGATAGCTACCGATGTGAAATGTGCTCAGAGTTCTAGTTTATTCAGCCAGAAGTAACAATACATGGCCTCTGTCTTAAGCATTAGCAATAATAACGTGAAACAGATTCAGCAGTCACTTTCTGTTCAGCTTACTATTTTGTCTTGTTATAGCAATACTATATTATATATTTGAATCTACAGGGTTTGTTTTTTTTATTAGGTACGTATTGTCGATTGGCAAATGCATGCTAGAGACAGCATACAAACCATGCTGTCCTTATTCTCAAGTGATAATCGGTGATCCATTCAATCCAGCATTTAAGTACTATAATTGTCACTCACTCGTCACAATACTTGTGCTGCTAGAGCCTGTTGCAATGTAACGTTTAGCGTCTCGTTTATACGTAGCGAAAAGCCGTGTTGCGTCTTCTTTAAATACCGTACAACAGACCCCCAAAGTGTGCCTTGTTTGACGCGACAATAAAGTGCCATCATTTTCGAAAAGGTTGTACAAAAACGATTAAAAAAACGAAAGTTTTTGTTTTCTTTCACATGGACATCATTATTATTATTAAATACATAACGCAGGAATCCCTACACAAGAGACTCCATGTAGAGGACAGTGTCAGAGTCCTGACTGTGCATGGAGCTCAGCCCCGTGTCCGAGTCATTATCATTCACCTCGCCCTTCGTCTCTATCGATAGGCATGGCGAGGCGGTGAAAAGCTCCCCGGCAAAGCTCTGCGTGGCAACGTGCGCCTGAGCTGCGCTATGCTCCTCGCTGGCGTCGATAATTGAGAGCTCCTCTTTCTCTTGTACGTGCATTGTGGACAGCAGGCTCGAGAGGTAATCGCATTCTCTCGCCCGGCACTGTAACGTGGCCTGACATCTGTACAAATCGCGTTCCACGGAGCTCATCTCCGCTTGAATAACCCCACATTTCTTCACGCTTTCCTCCAACAGAGAATCCGTTAGTTCCGCTCCCGCGAGCAGGTCGGCTTTGGCCCGGCAACGGTCTGCGGCGCTGTGGGTGGTGGTCCTTTGCTCGTCGCTCGTGAGAGCGGAGGTCTCGTGGGGCCAAGCAGGTTCGGCGCCCGCCACATTGTCACAATCCTTAATCTGGGCCCCGCCACCCTGCTCCTCCAGGATTTCCAAGTGCAGCCTCGCGGCGAGCTCCTCATAATAGAGCAGCTGATCTTGCAGATGCGCGATCGCCTCGAATTTCACGGCACGCTCGCAGGAGGACGCCTCGCCGACGCCCTCTGAGCCGCCCTGTGCCAGCCTCCCCGCCTGCTCCGTCTCGACGCCCCGCAGGTACGCGTCCTGCACGTAGTTGGCTCCCTCGCGCTCGCACCGGTCCATGTGGATCTTCGCCTCGTGCCTCTCGATCTCCTCGTCCATGGCTCGGATGCGCTCCTCCTGCTCGCGGATCGTCTGGTCCTGCGACAGCACCACCCTCACCAGCGTCTCCAGCCTCTGCACGGGCGACGGTTCCCGGTCGATGGCGGCCGCCTGCGTGCGCTTGCGGTTCATCCTGGCGAGCTTGCGGAATGCCTTGCGCACCATGCGCCTCTGCTTCTCCTGCAGGGCGCCGTCGGCCTCGCCGTCCTCCGCGTGCCCCGACCACTGCTGCCGCTGCTGCTGCTGCTGCTGTCCCTCCTTGCTCTTCACCACCTTGGCCTCGGCGGTCCGGGGCGCGGACGACCCCACACCCTGGTGGCGGCCGGCTCTGTGCAGCGAGAAGTGGACGTTCTCCTGCTCGCTGGCCCAAGCCGCCCAGAGGCGCAGCAGCTTGGTCTTGGGCGGGAGGACTCGGTCCATTCCGCGCCATCGCTCCACGATGCAGTAGGCGCCGTGGGGGCCCGCCGATGGCTTGGCGGAGCGCTGGGGAGAGCGCGCGCTCTCCTGGAGCAGGGCCCTGGTCACATCCTCACAGGTGGTGCGCTTGGTGAGGCCGGAGACCAGCTTCTCCTCGTGACCCACCACGACGGTGATTTTGACCTTGCTCTGCTCCATCCAACTCCTCGGTGGCTGCGAACATAGCAGGATCCGTGACAAAGACGCAAACACAATTACGTATTTATCCATGGTTACGGAATTATAACTGCTAAATATGGGTGCAGCTGTTTGCACAGTCGTTATCGCACCGTGCTAGGACCCCAGCAGTTCTGATTCTTGGCAGCGGCCAACAACAGCGGCGAGTGGTATCTGAACTGATCCTGCACCGTTCCCACCCCTCACCAACCCGCACTGACCAGTGCGGTGAAGTATGGTCAAACAACCCCAAACAACACGCCATGGGAAGGCCTTCATCCCACTGTGGCTTGACAAAGGGTTGTAAATTATACCAAATTATATCCACCTCGTTGGCAACGTGGTCAGAGCATTCCATTCACAAGAGGCAATGAACGAGTTCAAATCCCAGTCGCTGGTTGACTCAACACACACTCCTTCAAGGGTTGATAAAATTAAGGTCACTTAGTGACAAGTCGACACTGGTTGTTCTGTGGAGAGACTGGACTTACCATAGAAAAGTGTAATTTCCATTACATGCTCATTGGCCCAACAAATCTCAAGACCATTTTTAAGTTGGACATCGCTTGGCCAATTTCCTTAATGGATATTTGTATACAACTCTCTTTTCTCAAGAGATTTAAAGAAGGGGGGGGGGCATGGCCCAAACTGTCACCAATTTATGGTTGCTTTTTATCTTTTAAGTCCACAGTGTTATTGACGAATGCGTTGAGTTTCTTTTTTCAGAAGTACGCTGGGCGTAGACTTCACTTCTGGGCCAAACAGTCAAAAGAAATAAGTTGTCATGCCGGGTGGCAATGATGGTCATATAGCCACGCTTTCCTGTTACAGTCGACTGTCACGAGCAGGCAGGCCACACCGCACGAATGACGACTCTTCTATTCATTGCACATAACCGCGTACAATGTTAAGAGTTTCAAGGCGCATTCTTGTACGCAGTTTAATTGTGCATAGCATTCGGTATGCCGATCATTTACTCAACAATACGTGTGCATTGATGAAGCAAAACGAGTTGAATCAACAGTAGCCTTGCCTTTGACTCGGTTTAGATGTAAGAATAGAAAAGCTATCTTCTGTTACTATGCCAATATTATCTTCCGGTATTTATTAACTTTTTGTTTGTTTGTTATGAAATAATCAAAAGCTTGTCTTCAACCGTCACGTGATACGTGCCAGTTATTAAGTGTTTAGTGGCACTTGCGGCAAGTCCGTGCGCGCCACATCACCGGAAAAGTTTTCTCATGGAAGGTTTGATCAAGAAAAAAAAGAAAAGGTGCGATGGAAGCCTCGGCACGCGTGATACAGCTGAACGAAACTTGCCCTTGCGTAGTAAAACTAATCTGTGACGTGTTTAAAGAGGGTTTGTATTGAGAGCGCGACTGGCTCACGGAGCCGCAGGTTGGTCTCGAGTATCGATAGGTGTAGCACACACGCTACGGATCCCGGCAATCCCGAGTTCGATTCCTGCTCACGGCCAATGAGTGGCGAACATTTGAAAGAGACCCGGGCCTCCCCTGGGTCGACTCAGACTTAAATCAATACGTTATGCGGTGTGTAAGCATAAGAACTGGGGAGAGAACGGCGGCCGGACACACCGCCCCCTCGTGTGCTGTGCTGGCCTTCATAGGTGCCCAATGACAGCACTTCCCCGAACAATAAGTTAAAGGCTACAGTCAACAACATACAGTGATAGCTGACTTGACCACAATCACTGAATGGTACAAATAGCGTTCGCGTGTTCGGCAAAAAACGGCACATTTAGTTTTGAGTGCATACATGGCACGTGTTATTAATCACAACACCAAACTTTGGTGAGACCAACACAACTTTTTGAAAGTACCGCAAACTCGTCATTTTTTCCCCCTGGCATCGCTCAGCGAAGCGAATGTGAGAACTTCCTAGAACTGTCCACTGCATCACCCCGCGTCTTAACCCAGAAAGGGACCCAGTCACGCAAACTCTGCTCAGGACGCCTCTGGGGACACGAGGCCGACCTCGTCAAAACCTACAACAACAATATCGACAAGCGGACGATACGTCTCCTTCATATTTGTCTCCCTGCCACGTAACATTGCCGCGTAAATTAATTCACTGATGAAAACGCATATTAAACACGAACAAGGCACAACAATTCCGTTTTCTCGTAACGTCACTCATACCAACAATAAAAAAAACCTCGCTGAACAGCGATAAACTCTTTTAAAATGCCGAGGGTTTCATCTCCACTTCTTCTTGAAAAATGTCCACGGGCACTGTTCAATGATTTTTCACTTCATCAAAGCGACCACCTCGCCTCGTACGGACCGGAGTCTCTCGTGCCGCCGCGGGGCTTAATGAGAATAACGCCGCCTGTGAGCGATGGGTGGCAGGAATCCCTTACCGGCCTCCACGTGAGAGTCCCAGGTGCCGACGCAGCCGCCGTTACCGCCGCTTCTGCAATTTGCCGCTGCTCGAGGCTGACTTGGGACGTAGTTCAAGTCACGGAAATGTGAAACCTCCACGCACCCCGGTCACGCTGAGCCGTTCGGTTAATAAACGTGACTACTCTTAACACACCCACCCCCCCCACACACACGCGCGTTCATTCATCAACAAGTGCACTCCACTACGGCACCAAAACAAAAAAGTGAGCGTTTCTCGCTCGCTCCTCTCAATGGGGGCAAAAAACGCGTCCGTGTTGTTTGTCACTCACGGCAAACTGCATGGGGCGCCCTCTCCAGCACTCCTACAAATGAGCAGAGGGCGCTGTGGGTTTATTTTTTTGAAAGTCGTAAAAAGATTTGTTTCTATCCCCCCCCCACCCTCTCTGTCCTCTTTTTTTCTTTCTTCGAAATACTTCCAAAAGGGTCCCTCCCCTGCCACCGCAGTGTGCTAACACCCCCCAGCAAAACCCCACCCACACACGCACGCAGACAGGCACCACATCGCACACGCCACTGGCCTCTCTCTCTCTGTACATTTCTCCCCTTTTGTTCTGTTTTCTCAGCAGCTTAGTTTGGTGAATGGGGTCTGCAAAGTGAGTGACTTTACCCAGAGGTGCGTTTGCGCGCGCGCACGCATCCCAAGAGCAAATGTTAAAGCGAACCGGGAGCACCAACAGTGCCAACGAACGAGACCCAGATTTCATTAGATGGCTGTAAGTGCCCCTCTGTGCGCACCTTTGCCATGCCGTGCGTGTGTCGGCGCGTTACACTCAAGTCACGACACCGAGCACTCAAAGGGGGGGGGGGGGGGGGTGGTGTTAGTCGTTAGCACGCTGTGCTCCGAACCCGGGAGATACCAAATAAACTGAAAACTGAAACTGACCCGAGTTCCCGCCGATCTCCGCCGATGGCCAACATCAGTGGCGAACATCCGAACCGGTCCCGGGACTTCCTCTTTAGTCGACAGGGTGCCAACGTCGGCGCTGGAGGAGACAAACGCGGTCGGGCGTTATCCTGGCCTCACCACCCCATCGTGCGTGCCTTCGCATGCCCTCGCTAACGGTCTATGTACGCTTCTGTAGGGCAATCTCAAGTCAAATATTCAAAGTTTCCCTTGTGCTCAAATGAGTATTCGTGGCCCTTATCTCCGTCGGCTGCTCACGGTCGTTGGTGAAAATGACACGTTCTCGTGGCAGGGCGAGTGTGTCCATTCGACAGACTACCAATGATTTCTTCCCTGGAACGTGCTACTTGCGTCATTGGCACAGGTAGGAACGATGAGCTGGGTTCTCTACGACCATTCTGGCAGGAGAGACAGACATTCTTGAGCGACACGCACACAAACCACGGGTTATTACCGTACCAGAGAGTGTCACGTGCGATAAATCGAGACGTTCAAGAGTCTGTGACATCACCCTTCCTAAGTGGAGGCAATTTACGCAGGTGTGATGGCCCAAGTCCCAAATCTAAACATTTCTAGTGCCTAAGTTGCGTCGTTGAGTAAGTGCCTCCACAAGGGACGCTGCCGTGAAGGGATGGTCTGCACAGTGGACTTCAGAGATCGTCGGTTCGATCTCCCAGCACCACAGTGAGAAAGTTTCATAAATTCTCGCTGTGCCTCTGGGTACACCATAGTCGCTGGGCAGCTCGCGTACGTTTGAGATAAAGTGTGGGCACTCCCACCTATCCGGACAGCATGGAACAGTTGGCTAAATACCCTTGGGAGGGTCTTTCTTGAGCTCCCTCTCGTAGAGGCCCTTCTGCACGCAGTGGTGGTGAGCAAGCTATTGCAGGGCTGCGCCTACACCTTTATTTCAGGTTTTTTTCTTTTTCACCAGGTCTTATTTTCAAAATACTAAATGTTATCTTAGAGGGCTCTCACCTGGTGAAACTGACAGTGACCTGTATATTCAGCCTCTGTAATGACAGTGATCCACATTGTCAAGATGTTCGACGCACCACGATGAGGAAATTGACCACAGCCTGTGTGAGTGTAAGATAACATATGAAAGCAAACACGGGATGACGTGAATCAATTACACAATCAGATGCTCTACTAAACGCGAGTGATAGCCAACTCTGCTGGAGAAAAAAAAGACACACATATTGGAAGAAAAATGTGAGGGCCACTTTTAGCTTGCGCTTGTTTTATGATTGTTATTACACTTGGTCCCAGGAAAGTATCATTGAGTCTCGCGACTGTTTTAGGAGGGTCCTGCCAAGCTCTGCCATGAGGTGGCGATGTTTCTGGGCGTAATGTGTATTTTTCCAATCGTACAATTTGCGGGCAGTGTTCTTTTTTTTGTATCAAATTCGGAAAATTTAGACCATGACGCTGGCACATGACAGGCGACTCTTGCGAATGACTTCACGGGATCTTCAACGTCCATCGCTGTGAGGCAAATGGCGAGAATTGTGCACGGTCAATATGGACTCGCAGTGTTAACCGGGGCGTCCGTTGGATTCAAACCGTGAACCTCTGCAAAAACCGTTGGGTCACGGGTCGGCAACCACAACAACAAGAAGATGCATTGTTAAATCTTGACTACAGGAATTAATATTCTTTGGGTCTTTCGGTAAAGTCACGTCGATAGCTTCATTTCTGTTATTTTCTTTGAACATATCTACGTGACTTTACCGACAGACCCAAAGACTAAGATGCATTGCTTTCGAATTCGGTAAAAAAAACTCAACATTTCAAGAGCCGCGATGCGCGTGATGAGTACGAGATGGTGGTCCTGAATAAAGAACGTCACGAAGTGGGGACCGTTAAAGAGCCTCAGGTTGCCCACCCGTGCACGAGGGTCATGTCACGGACTGTTTTCTGTGGCTATTTTCAAGAATGTCTAAATTATCTGTTCACAACTTTACAATTCCGCGTCATTTAACATAACGCATAACGTGTGTGTGTGTACCAACAATGGCAAAATATATTTCTCTTTGTTGGTATTTATATCCGATGTAAAATATTAATACTTACCTACATATGAATAATCGTGCGTGATGTGTGGATGTCTATGGTATAGGCAGGGCCGGATTAAGATGTTGTAGGCCCCTGGGCTACAGGTACTGTGAGCGCCCCAATAATATTTTTAAAAAGAAAACTAAGTTAAAAAAAAATGTATTTTTACAAGGCTAACAACAAATACAATTCAGCATTCACAAGTGAAATAACTTTTCACTTAATCTCTGGAGGCCTTCCAGCTGGCGGAGGCCCCTGGGCTGCAACCCCTAAAGCCCCGTGCCTCAGTCCGGCCCTGGGTATAGGTAGGAAACATGAATATTTTGTTAATATATTTCGAGAAGACCCAAATTTACTTTTCATTAAAGTGTAATGTAATTACCTCCTGAGTATTAGTTCAGTATGTGTAGCAGCGTGCATATGACATACTCTAACATTATTTAATTGAATCTATCCCAACGAAAAAAAGTGCATTGTACTTGAATGGGAGAGGTTATCCTGATCTATTGATGTGCACGCCGTACATCTCAGGGAGGTGTGGCACAGCGCTTAGCACACCAGCTACAAATCTGTTCGATTCCAGACCACGGCTAACATCAGTGGCGAGAGTTTTCCAAACCGCTCCTGGGCATCCTCCACCCCTCTCTTCACCACTCCACACTGACGATTCAGTGTTCCTGTTAACAGTTCGAAATGTTAAAAGCTCAACACATTTGTCAATAACACTGTCGCCTTAAAGAGGAATAAAAATAAATAATAGGCGGCGTTGCGAGAAATGGCAACTTATTTTCTAGCCAATTGTCCTTGTACATCACTGCTTATGCATCGTCACCAAAAGATTTGTTGTAAATATCGACGATTTTACGAAGTTTCATACTATGTGAGAAAAAAGTTTTGCTGGCTGGCTGGCCGAAGGGATGGGCAGACGCTCACGTCCCAAAGGACGTAACAAGCTGCTAGTTGTTATACAATTTCAGTGTTGGTGAAGTATGGTCAGCCAACCCCAATGACTGATACGAAGTGGGTGTGGGGAGACCATCGAAGAGTGGACTGAGAGAGCTGTAAACTATTATTATTTTTATACAACACATTAATACATAATAAGCAAGAACGTGGATTTATCGAACATTGCATCTCAAGCAATCAGTAAGTTCAAGACTTTAAAATCGCAAAATAAATGACACGGTCTTAGCTATCCTTTACACTATACGCCGTCTGCATCACAGTGGACTCAAAAGATCCCGTGACATTTGAAAAAGAGAGCATTGTGTGCCTCCACCACAGTCCAAATTTGCCACGTTTTAACAATGACTCGCAAGTTTATGACAGCAAACAGAATAGCAAACACAACAACGCTCCCTACTGACAGACCAATGCCCACTTGCAGGCCATTGCTGCCATCAGTAGGTCCTCGAGGGAAAATGTGAAAACTACAACGCTACATCTGTGCTTTGGAATGATTGACATGATGTTGGGATGCCATGCACTTTGAGATTCTGGGTAATTTAAATGCCCAATGAATGCAAATACGTGTATCCTTACACAATAATTAAATTATCTATTATTCCAAATTGTCCGTTGAATGTCCATCGTGTTTTGGTTTAAATCCCACGGATACTCTAGAGAATGGCTGCGTGTAGAAAACCATTCAACGTTCCACGCTTTAACGTCAGAATAACACCGTGCATTAGCACAGCTGTTTTTGAACATCCATAATCAAACGTTGGCAACATTTACATCGAGGAACAAGTCTAAAGTTTTCCACGAGTTCCATGGGCAAGCGACAGTGTTTGATGAAGATGCGCCCCCTGTTGCATTTTTTCAGTATTGCCATGCTTTATGAAATATATTCGCGGACATGCTCAGCCCTTTTAGTCAACCCACCGCTGTATGAATGCCTCTCCGCGCCGTGCGTCTCGTGGTGGTTGTTTGGACCATACTTCACCACCAATGTCAGCGCGGGTTGGTGAATGCGGTGAGCATATAGGTGAGAGCATATAAGTGGAGTCCAACAATGTGTTTTGCTACAATGGCTTCTTACCACCCACATACTAATACATAGAAAGGAATAACGCACAGGAATATTACCAACACAATAATAGGCATCGTGTGTTAAAGGAATGTTCGGCCATCGTGTGGTGGATTATGCAAAATCCATTGTCTTAGATGTTGGTGGGATGTGCCTGAAATCGTGCAGTACAACAAGTAGGCATCAGGCCCGCCTGTGCGACCTCTGTGTGTTATCCCCTCGTACGGCTCCTCAGGTTTACACTCACACGCCAAACACACACAACAAATGAACATGCCAAGCAAGAACCCTCCTGCAAAAAAAGAGTGTCGAAACTCGTGATTTTCTGGGTAAATATTGAAAAAATATATTACGTCGTTGCTTTATAACATTATACAGTACACAATTGTAATAAATTATTATTATGTATATAGCTATTACAACATCATATCTTAACATAGCATCCCTATCATCCAAATCTGGTTACCCCATGCATTATAGCTCAATGTTACTGCGTTTTATATTTGTCACTGTGACAACCTCTACGCACCGTATGCGCTCAACAGAAATTATGAATTTACACCAAAACGTGCCTCTTTGTCGAGGTGTATAGTAGAGTCCCATAGTCCACACTTGTCAATGGCTAAAGGAGAATAATACATCCAGTAAGAGATCAAGTTAGAGTGCGCCACGGTGGCGAGATGTTAACTACCTCGCCAGGTATACAGATGTTCGTGGGTCCGATTCCGACGCTGATGCCTGAATATTTGCAGTGTGCATGTCTCTCTCCCCGTGGTCGCGTGGATTTTTCTCCGGATCTCACAGGGGTTTCCCTCCACATGTATAAACATGCGTTTAGAGTGTTTGGTTGCTATAAATGTCCACATGATAAGCCACTTCGTTGAGCTATCATGTGTGACTAGGTCGCTTCTGAATTTTTTTTTATAGCTCAGTGGGCCTTACCTCGAAAAAACTTTTTTTAAATAGTTTAGTTATATAGTTTTAATATGTAGGAATAATGTGAATAGTTTGCTTGGCAATTCAGAAGATAAGTCACCTTCAGTTCAGGGTTGTTCGTTTAAGATTCCTCGGACATGAGATTCCGTGGAGTCGAGTGACGGATACGATGCTGTGTGCGACGTAAGTGTGGGCTTGAGGTACCGCAAATCGGGTCGTGGTAATAATAAGGTGGTGACGTATTTGCGAAGCAACGTAAAAGTAGGGAGCTATACATTGGGATACCGCTGTACTACCGAGTGGACAGAGGCAGGCAGATTTTACAGCACTATTGTAGTGTACTAATTCAGAGACACTAGTAGGAGGCACTCTCTCTCTCTTGTTTATTCCGACCTTCACAGCCATAGGGGATAACTACATACCGGGTCAGAACAGCCAACATGCTGCCAGACCCACAGCTCAAAGAGGCGAAGACCATGAAGACGGCAGCACAACAAGTTCTACTCTAGATGGCAGCAGCCCCGACTGTGAGTCGGAGCTCACCTTTTATCCTCCCCAGCGTGGCCAGGCTCCGCCCTCGGCCACGCACCCTTCTAGATCTCCCAGAAGGCTCTAGGCCTCGCCCACGTGTCCCACTGGTTAGACCGGGCTGCTCCCCATAATCCCTTTCTACCAGTTCCCAGCGCTACGCGCTCCGGTGACTAATTTTATGCCACTACACTATGGTTCTGTAAAATCACAAACTACATATTTTGAGATATATTACAATCTAATTGATAAGACTGCACTGTATTGATAATTATGTAATTAGGCACATCCAAGCATTCGGATTCGTTTCAACATTTCGTAATAAAATATTTTTTATCAGGCCTCATAGCGCTGATTATTGTCTACACAATTATTGTTATAATTTTAAACAGCGTTCGAATGACTAAATCTGTAGTCTATAGTGTATAGCGTGATTATTTATAATTTAGCGAGCATTGCATGTATTCATATTTACGTTTTATTTCTCGTCTCCTAGATGCTCGGGGGCTATAATGTTGTTGATATTGTTGCAGTATACCAACACATATTGTGAATTATGGCATGTAATTAATATATTTATGTATTTCTTACAGAACACTGACACTTTGGCGGTAGCAAAAGAACATTAAAAAACAAACTTCTCTTCATCCCCCGGTTTCCCGTGGCAATGTCAACGTGACTTCTTACAAAAGTTTCGCCTCAAACGCAGAACAGTTAAAACAATAAATTCTGCCTAACTTTTAGAGTGCCCTTCTAAAAATATGTATTAACAATCAAACTGCGTTGAGTCCTCCTCAAGAATGTTCTAACGTCCTATTTAGTTATATGTATAACAATGCAATACAACTCTGAGCGTCCTTGTCGTTATTTCATAGTATTTCTTAAATTGTACTTTTCTCGCTTAGCATCCCCACCACGCATATTATGCGAGAATGCCACCCAGCCGGATATTGCAAGTGTCAGTTCAATCGCGATACGGCTTTACGGCACTTGAAAATATCTTTGAAGTATGATGTTGTTGCAAATTATATGCCTACCTTTCAGAGACGATGCCACCGAGGAACGCGTTCTGATGTTATTCATGATGCGAAGAGTGGTCGTCGCCCGACTGTTAAGCTACGGAACGTCAGATCGGCATCGTCCTTTGATGAAGGCATCGTCAAAGCCGTCACCAGCTCTCACGACCCTGCAGTTCAGCAATCCACCTAGCACCGTCGAACACGCATTGATTTAATCGCTCCATCTCCTCTGTGGATGTGTATATAGGCTGTATTCTCATACATTTGGTATTTTAAAGATTGCTTTTAAAAGAGAGACATTTGTTGTGTGCACTTAAACGCTGCATAAATGTGTACAGTCGCGTTATTTTGATATTCGGTTGAAATGACATGTTCATGACCACGAAAAAGAAAAACGCTATCCTGATTTACTCAGAGGAATTTTGTCAAATGCTAATACACATACACTCATGCATTTGTATTAATGTCATGCGGTTAGAATCCACAAGTGGTGGTATATAAGCATTCGCACGAGTAAGCACAGTTTATAATTTTAGATGATTCTCTAATGTTTCACACGCGTCCCACAACGGCCAATTCCTTACTATGAGGACATCGTGCGCTGACGCTAATTCTCATACGGGGTGTGTACAGCAACACCAGCCACTGGATTAGGGCTGAACAATTAATCAATTTCAAATCGAAATCGCAATTTGAAACAATGCGATTAGCAATTTGCAAAGGATGCGATTTTTTGCGATTTTAAAAGTCCTATTACTTTCTTATTGGAATTGTTTCATTTATTATTATTATTATTAGAACATTTCTTTATTTATTTATTCAAATAATACATTTATAAAATAATAACAATATCACGACGTTTCGATCGCAACACAAGCAATCGTCATAAGGTGATGAGGCAGGAAAAATATATGTAAAGTTAAATAACTTAAAAATTGTTCTATGTTGTATTGTTCCATTTCAATTAAAACATTTTAATAAATGCATGTTGGAAGCAATTAATTATTCTAAGTTCTCATCCTTGCATTAGAATATATAGAGCAGTTCATATTTTGATGGAATCATGTGGTAATGCTCCATCACATGTTTTAAATCTATTACACAGTGAACATTGAATTGAAGCTTGACATAACATTTTAATCGCAAATCAAATCGCAATATCTGTCAGAAAAATAGCAACTAGATATTTTCCGCAAATAGTTCAGCCCTACACTGGATCTCAATGTACACAATAATGGATACACAGTTTAGACATTCGCAACTGCACGCGTGCCCGCGTTTCAGGAGCGACTGACGCTATCAGCAACGTCAGCAGCCATGGTCAATCCACTGCTGGATGAAGGCTCCCTCAAGTCGCCCGGCAGTCGCTCATCGCTTCTGCAAAGGCAACAATCACCGTCGACGCGAGAGCTGATTTCATCACTCCATCTCCCCGGCGAAAGTGCCTCCCTGACGCGTCCCATTGCTCGGTTTTTCCAACTGCGTCACCGTTTCGCAATGCTTTCATATGTTAAACATCTTACATTGGAATACGGCCGCACCCACGGTGCCCTGCTGCTGTAGATTAACCGTGGGGTTGCATTGTTGCTCGTGAAAAAGATGACATTGCCATCGGGAAGTTATCTTGTTTGAATGCGTTGTCCAAAATGAAGGACCGCGTGTGCCTTACGATTACATCTCGTCGAACACGTGCGTTCAATCTGTCGCCCTGTTAAGTCCCTACGTCGAGTCCCGTCTACCACAAAGACACCGGCAATGTACATATGTGAATGTTGCCCTGGCTGTGATGATGGACTTGTTGTATTTGCGGGGCAGGCGTATTTGTGAAGATGTACTTTATATTCAAGTGTGTGCGGTGATATGGTGTATATGCGTCTCTTGCACCAACTAACATCATCTACATTCTATATAATCACCATTCCACACATTCGTCAATAACACAACCCTAAAATGAAAACATCATAGGCGATCTTGATTTGAAGCTTTCGTGACTGCAGGAATCCACATACACTTTGGTTCTTTCGGTAAAGTCACGTAGGTAGAAAAAATAATAGATTGCGACGTTTCGATCGCCACACAAGCAATCGTCGATTGCTGAAAGAACCAACGAGTATAATAGGCGACGTTTCGGGCATTTGCCCTTCTTAATCATCCATCATTCCACTGCTGAATGAATTTAATCGCCATCACGATCCTGAAGTGTCCATAATCCACCTCGCACCTGCACACGCGAGCTGATTTAAATCGATAAATCTGGTTTACATCGTAACGTGTAAAATAAGTATACATGGTATATCCTGCAAACGTGTTCACCTTTTCACAAACCCACGTTGTGGCATTAACAATAAGTATTTCAAACGCTCACTCGACATGCGTGGCCATATAGCATAAGCGTCATGTGTCCCCTCTGCCGAATCACATTCTCAAAACGGCAACCGTGAAACGCGTTACCGTCCCCACCCCCCTCCTCATCGGCGGGCATCTGGCTGCGCGAAGAGGTGGCACGTAAGAAATATTGCGGCGATCGCAACGATGCACAATTACTAGTTTGTTGAACAGCGTCGCACACGTGCGTGCAGATAGATGCGTCTGGGGGACAAGCAAGGATTGGTGGGTGGGGGGGTGGTTGGATGGTTGGAGGGAGCCGCTTTTTTATTTTTAATGGGATTCTTTTTTTTTCGCTTCTTCACCAGAAGCCATGGACGTCAGGAGTGGCTATAAAAGAGCACCGAGAGAGCCAGGAAGCGCCAGTGGATGAGCAAAACGTGGTCGAGTTTGAAGGCGCATTCAGTGGGGGGGGGGGGGCACCCGCTGACGCAACTGCTGATAACCGCTGACCGTCTCAACTTGTCTCGAACACCTCCAGAAGCTCTTCGCTCGTCCGAGGCGACGACGTCTGCGTGTGAAGATGCGACTGGCGGTGATAAGTTCGCTCCTTCTTCTAGCTTCTTTAGGAGAGGCGGTGTCTGGTAAGTTGACGTGATGTTCGTCGCTTGTATGTTAGGGGGGTTTCGTAGGGTATCGCTCACTATCGCCAATGTCTCTGTAATCAGTTTGTTTACCCCCTGGGGGTAGTCTATCTACCCCTTCTAGTGATTGGGGTAGGTAAAATGAATAAATACAACTCGATGAGATGCCCATGGTGTTCAGCCTTTTGATACACTTTGTCCGGCCACGGTAACGTGGAGTTTTCACCATTAGTACACGGCTCTCGCTGGAGATGTGTGGATTCCATCGCCTGTTTGAACGGGGACACGGCGTTGTGCTTTATCATTTTGTGTTGATTTAAACGAGCACATGGACTGTAATTTGTTGTTTTCGTGCGTTGTATAAAGTAGTACGCATGGCTCTGCTTCATATGTGCCATTAGCAGAACGGTCGGCAATTATGTTTTTTTCATTTTAAAGCAGTGTTGTTCGCTAATGTGTCTAGTAGTTTACAGTTTCTTTTTGCCCAAAGGTGAGAGCCCATTCATTTATTGGTTGGTCGAACCAAATTATACTCCAAATATAGCCACGGCGAAATGTGGAAATAAGATGAAAAAAGGCAAAAATTTGGTAATTTTGAGATATAAAACATATTTTGCAGGAAATTTCCTTTCCACCAAGACATCAGGTATGATTTCTTGGGAGCAGATACTAAAATTAAATAAAAACGAAGCAAATAGTATTACTTAGGGAAAGCTTTGTTTAAAACAAAGGCTAAATGTTGTGTTTACAAGTAGACCTATAATTACACAGCAGGTTAAAGACAAATTGCGGTCCATGCCCTTAGCACAATCGCTCTGTCGCATGTCGCATACTGCGAATTGGTCATTTAAACTTCTATTCGTGTTTACTCGTTAGCTCACGATCGTCTACTGCCAATCTCTCAGCTGCGATGTCCGCCGCACGTCACGAGAGATTCAATAAAGGCGGTTTAAGTGTAAATGTAAATACGTTCATTATCCACGCACAGTTGGTACAAAGGTGGACTGGCTGATACCAGGACGTGTGAAAGCGCGGATGCGACACAGGGCCCACGTGCTCGCGTGATATTCACGCTCCTATGCGTCGCCAATTCACCGCGCATATTAAACGCATGAGCAGCTAATGCGGCTCTAAACAAAATTAACATGAAAATGAAAACAATACAAACTTCAATTCAGAACCGCGGCACGGAAAAACACGTTTGGGTTTTAATCTTTCGTTTTACAATTGCTGCCACCTAGCGAAAGGCCCCGGTCCGCGACAACGCGAAACAAAAACGACACGACTCGCGCGCTTGTGTGTGTGTGACTGTGTGTGAGTGTGTGTGTGTGACTGTGTGTGTGTGTGACGTGTGTGTGACTGTGTGTGTGTGAGACTGTGTGTGTGTGACTTGTTTGTGTGTGTGTGTGTGACTGTGTGTGTGTAACTTGTGTGTGACTTGTGTGTGTGTGAGACTGTGTGTGTGTGACTGTGTGTGTGTGACTTGTGTGTGTGTGACTGTGTGACTGTGTGTGTGTGACTGTGTTTGTGTATGTGTGTGACTGTGTGTGTGTGACTGTGTGTGTGTTTGTGTGTGTGTGTGACTGTGTGTGTGACTGTGTGTGTGCGTGACTGTGTGTGTGTGAGTGTGTGTGACTGTGTGTGCGTGTGTGACTTTATGTGCGTGTGTGTGGGGAGCGGTAGTGTAGCGGTTAGCGCGCTGCGCTATGAACCCGGCGACACGAGTTCGATTCCCGCTCACGGCCAACACCAGTGACGATTATCTGAACCGGTCCCGGGCCTCCCCTAGGTCGACTCAGCCTCAAATGAGTACCTGGTGAGGTGTGTAAACATCGCCACTAGGGAGACAAAGGCGGTCGGGCGTGGTGCTAGCCACCCACCCCCTCGTGTACCGTTCCGGCCTTCATAGGTGCTCGCTAACAGCACTTGCCCCTACAGTCTATTCAGGCTATATGGGGGATCTTTGATCTTTGTGTGACTGTGTGTGACTGTGTGTGACTGTGTGTGACTTGAGCGACGTCACTCCCGGGGTTTATGTCTGATATCGTCTCACCCGCGATGGTAAAAGGGATGTGGGAGGGTTGACATCAGACTTTCATCATCGGCAGCCGCAGCAGCCACGACCAATCCATTGCTGGGTGAAAGCTGGCCCCCAAAGCCATTGCCAACTCTCTCAAGAATAGGCATCTTGGGATGTAATTATCCTACCTTGCACATATCGTCAAGGAGCATAAACCATCTCGCGAAACTCCGGTCATCCTCGCAGTGGCTTTTGGCTAGCCATCGGACAAAGACGGTCACCACAGCGCACACTCTCAGATGCGCGCTTCTGTGACCGTCTGGAATGCTCTTGCTTCCGATATTAAAAAGCCGCTGGAGGCTACGCACTTTTAAAGAGAACCGCTTTTTGTGTTAAGTTTGTTGTCCTTCCCCCGCACCTCCGATTAGCACGGTTGGCTACGTACGGTGTGAAAGAAGTTCACCATGGTATTTACATCCACGTTGCAGATTCATGCGACCCGATTTCACCAATCACTCCATGCCCAGTGCCCTCCTCAATGGAAGTATTCTTGTGCGTATTTCATTCCTTGGCTGCCAGCCACTCCGCTATTATTCTTGACCATCTTCGAAGCTCGCAACGTGCCCAGCCCAAGCCCACCGATCGAGTTGCAGCTATAGTACGCGACAGTTTCACTGAGGTCAATTAGAACAAAGACAACGATCCCCCGTGTGGCCTTTACCACGCTGTTGAGCAAAGTGTCGTTCGCGAGCACCCATGAAAGTCAACGCGGCGTAGGAGGGGATTGTGGGTGGTCAACACCACACCCGGCTGCCTTTGTCTTCCCCAGTGCTGTTGTTTAGACACCGCAGCAGGTACTCACTCACGGCTGAGTTGACCAGGGGAAGGGCCAAGATAGGTTCAAATGTTTGGCTGTTCGTAGCGCAGTGCATTAACCACTGCACCGCGGCTCCCCTTAATATTAAGTCCATATTGCGAGCACTTTCACGCAGGCACG